CGCGAGGAGCCAGCACAAGCTTAGTGCAGCCCCAGCAGGCAGACACGTGGGGTGGAAGCAGCAGCAGGAGGCAGCACAAGGTCCACCGCAGCCCCATCCAGCAGGTGTAGGACACAAACCAAGAGAGCCAGCGGTGCCAGGCTCGGCTCCCAGTCATCCGTCACCCGCCCAGGGGTTTCTCTTGCTGCCCACCCACTGGCAGCAGCTGCTTTCCCACACTTTGCAGCGCACTGACAGCCAGGCAAGTGTTGATCTCCTCCCCCTTCCCCTACCTGCAGTGGGGCTGGGCTCAGCCACATCACTAAGTGTGTGCAGGGGGGAACTCATCACACACGCACACCCAACCCACCCCCACCCAACACACGCACCCATGCCCCCTCACGCCCCACCCCCCATCATACCCGCACACAAACCCAATGCTGTCTACCTCACATCCCAACCACACCATACTCACACACAACCCCCTACACCTCAACCACAACCCCCCACACACATCCCCACACCCATACCTTCCCACACACACACACCCCCTACCATGCCCCCACAACCCCCACCATACCCACACACATATCCAACACTCCCACACACCCCACATGCCAACCACACATCTCACACCCCTACACACATCCACTCATACATCACACGCACACCCCACCTGCACCATACCCACACCCCACACACATACCCAGCACCCCCCATCCCCCACCACACACACACACACACCCCCAGCAGTCCCACACACCCCACACCTCAACCACAGCCACCCCACACACACCCCACCTCCTTACACACAATATACAAGCAACACCCCCTCCCTCCCAAAAGAAGTACTTTCTGGGCATGGGGACAAATTTCTGGTGTCAAAGGTCAGGGAGCAGAACTGCCGGTCACAAGATCGTGACCAGGGGGCGGGGCAACCTTGTGGCCCTCGACACCTCACCAAATCTCGTTAGGAGTCCCTCCAGCTGAAATTATTGCCCACCCCTGAACTACACTGCAATACAGTCCTATTAAAGGAGTCCATTTTCCATACGCTATAAAAAACACATAATACATCATTTACTCAGAGACTTTCAATATTAATTGCTACAAAACATAATAAATATAATTTACATATGCCCTTTAAACCTACACAACCATATATTGAATATAATTTAAAATATCAAACAGATTGCTCATTGCAGTTACACACACACGTCAGCTTGTGCTCCAGTATCCCCCACAATAAGAACATGCAGAACTCATAGGTACATTACATATAGGTGGAACTAAATTTTTAAAAAATTTATTAGGCACTTTATAAACAGCATACAAAATCTAAAGCATACATCCAACAGCATATTTCCAGGGCAGAAGAAAGCAAAAAGGGCAAAATTAAGCTTGTAGGACACTGGCAATCAACTGGACTGATAGATTTCCATCCTGTGGTGGCCGACTCCTTTAACAGTTCATTTCTAAAATTCTTAAACTTTTAAAGAATAAAAAAGTCAATCTTACCCACAGTTTTCATCCTGAGTAGGTTCTTCATTCCAGATAGTAATCTCCAATTTGTCTGGGACTGGAGAATTCAAGACTGAATTAACACTAAGACAACGTTCATACCGTTCCAACATTCTCTTGATCTTTTCTTTGGATACACCATGAATGTTACGCCTGGAGATTAAAATGAGATTAAAAAGGCAACAGTTTTTATTTTAATACTCAAAGAGAACAGCTAGAAGATGGAACGTTTGTTTGTATTGTATGTTTTGCTTAATTTTCAATGCAATATTTACACTAAAGGCACTTATCTTTTTTACTACTGTCTGGAATGTGGCAAACCAGTACAGTTGCTCTTGGTTCACTTTCTGTCAGTGATGCATGGATTTAAAATGCATAGAGGAGATTTTGTTCAGTCCACCTTCTCTGGGCTACTTTCTGGTACTGTTCAGTTGAGCAGAAGCTGCCATGAAGGAAACAAACAAATCTGCCTCTTGTTATAGCTACATGCCAACATATGCCAACAACTTTGGATAGGATTTTACACTGCCTTTATTATATCACAGAAAACAAGTTGCTTGATCTAGCACAAGCACAACCTAGCTAAAGCTGCAAACTGCATGAAACTGGAAGAAGACCTGAGTTAAGTTCCAGCAGCAGGAGAAACTGTTTCTTTATCCACCAACCCAGGACTGCTTCAGAAAGATCCCTATAAGCACCTGGGATCTGTAAGTATCATCAGTTAAGCACTTCAGATGGCACAGGAAGAGTGTAACCAAGCATCTTCTGGTGGCTCAGAAGAGTTGGTTCACAGGGGCTTCTCTCTCTCATATCAAGTAGTGCTGACTGCTCCAATCTAAAAGTTATGAGGGACATTCTAGGTCAGGGAAGGCTAACTATGGAGCAGAACAGCCAGAGAGATGCAAGAAGAGACTCAGAATGATGGGACACAGCCTCGCAAATTGTTAAGGGTGGGTCCCACTGGTTCATTGTGCTTCAGTTCCCGAGGGATGTTTTAAGGCTGTGTTAGCATTTTCACAATTCTGCAAAGTATTATTTACATGCTACTGTTTTAAAGCTACTAAATCTCTTTGGAACCTGAATGTAAAATTAAAACAACATAAAAAAAAATCAAAGGAATTCCTCAAACACTTAAACAAAACCTCATGCAAAAACAATAGCATTGTAAGCAATTGTAAACAATAATAAGTTTCTGAGCTGTTAAAATAAAAATAAATAATCACATAGGTGCTTATTTCATCATTAACAAGAGGCTCAGTGGCACAGGGAAACCCAATAGCCATTGTCAAGGTAACAAACTATTTTAAACAAGATAAATGGAAGGTGAAAGAGCTTTTTTCGAATCTTCTATATTACTTTTACCTTTCGAGTTCTTTTGGTTTAAACTTCCACCAAGTATCTGGCTCTCGGAACATGACTTTGTATTTGTACTGCTGAGCCTGAATAAACATACAATATAGAATGCAAAACATATCAGGGATTCCTTATTTCCATGAAAAAGCACACTGCATACAAAACATACATAAATAATAAATCAGGTGCTCAACATACAAAACAAATTGAACACTCCAGAAATATACTGACCCTGGGCTATGCTTTATATGTTATGAAGATGGAGTTCCATAGTAATCTATGTGATTTAGATGCATAACTCCCATAAAAAATAATTAAATGTGTTTCGTTTTTATCAAATTGTTTCTTCATACCCAATCTAATCTAGTTTGTTCAGCTAGTGTTTTGAAAACTCAAAATTTTATACCATGCACAATCTCTTTTTTTTCTTATTTCAGTTCATTCAATTATTTCTGCTTACGTTTTCACTGATTATACATAAGATGGAATAGAATTCAGCTTGCTCTTTAAAAACCACATTTGCTCCATAGTACAAACACCTACATTTCTCAGTAAGGTAGATACAATACTAGGACATATGTAACAAGTAACACAATGCTAATTTTAAACACTTTTCTGCTTGTGGGAGCAATTCTCCCCTGTTGAAATCAAACAGAGACTGGAGAGAGGCCTAAGAACTTATTTGAAAATATGTTCTCAGCTTAGTTATCAATCTTTTTTTATAACACTCAAATTATTATACTAACCAGAGCAATATAAGGCTTCATTTCCCATGCTTGTATATTTGTGTTGTCTATTATTATAGGAGATACTCCCTTTTCAAATGCTTTTTTTGCTGAAAGACATGTGCACGCAAAAGAATAAGGTATGGTTACATTTTTTATAATAAATTTGATACCCAGTCTTATTTTTTAAAATAAGCCATATATTTGACAGTCATTCAAAGAGCTGATATTTTAGTTTGCATTCTTCGCTTCCAAATTCATTTTCATTTAAGCTCCCTATCGCCAACATAAAACATGCTGTATTATACAGTGAACATGTGTGAATAATAAAGGAATGAAAATACAGAGGTAGACTCACAAATATGACCAATCAGTAAATTATACTAAAAAACTAGATCATTTGAAAGTGGACCTTTTTGTTGTACACACAATTTTTGGTTTTATAACATTCTTAAAATAAGAGACTCTGCATAAACTGTATAAGTATGAAAAATCAAAAGTTTTTTTTATAGGTTTTATACACAGTAACTAGACATTTATACCCACTGGCTTAAAAAAAAAAAAGTACGCTGTTCCAAAATAGTTGCCTTCACCAATTAGTCACTGTTGAATCAGTACTTTTTACTATAAATCCATTTTTTTAAGTAGAAACCAAATTCTAAAAATATAATTGTGGTTAAGATTTAATATAGAAAAACCTGAGAATATGGTTCTGTGGAGAGTTCGGTGAAGGAAAAAACAAAACAAAACTGACTGTAACAATACTGTTTACTGGTTTCTTTTGTCCTTGTGTTTTCATTGTAATTTTCTCAATAATTCACTGCCTAAGAAAGAAAGTTCAAAAGCAAGGAAAGTTTTATTTAAGCACTGCATGTATAACACCCCCCACTGCCTTGATATCTGAATGCAAATAATAATTACTGATCTTAGTATTTATAGAAATATTTCTAGGAGACAGCACAGCCTACCATTTTAAGACTGGGACACAAAGCAGAATATATACCAAAATATAATCCAAGAAGAAAATAATACTGCATTTACCCAAATCTAAGATGACTTCCCCCCACCAATAAATTTGTTATAATTTGCCATGTATAGAATCTAATTAGTGGTCATTTTCAGTATGTCCCCTACAACTGCTGTAGTGGGGAAAGCAACGGCAGGGAATGAAGGTCCAGATCCCTTCCCCATTGCTCCCCTGCCCCTTGTCCCTACCCAGGTCTGCCCCTCCCCCACTGCTATGCAATACCCCTCTGTGCCTATGCCTGACCCTGTTCTTCACCCTCCGTGCCTGTGTCTGTCCCCACCGTGTAGCTTGCCT